GACTCTGGGAACGCCACGCCTTCGAATGCAGCCGCTCCCACATCGCACTCTGCAGAAGAAGAGGTGCCACGAGTAGCCACGAGAGAGACGGATGGAAATGCCGAGAGACCGAAGAGAGAGGTGAGTGGAGAGAGTCATTAGAGCCGGCCAGTTTATTGATATAATATTGATATTGCGATTTCAGACTAGATATAGTCAAGATTTTGACTATTATAATATTTTAAGAGTTGTTTTTTCCTGGTTAAAAAAGGCTGTGCAAATTAAAGTGGGCCCTATCATGCTTTTTGTGGCTTTCCTTTCCCCGTAGTGTGTTATATAGTTTTTTTGTGCATGCAAGTGGTCTGCAAGGGCTCAAACCCCAAAATTTCCTCCAGAGGGAGTTTCTCTCCCACGGATAAATTACATACCCCACCTTTAAGCAGTTGCCCATCACAACAGAGCCTTTTTGAACATTAAAGCATGGAAACATGCCACAGTAGCGGCACAAAGTACAACTATGTGCCTGAAAATGAGCATAATGTGTTCACTTTAAAAGTTGTTTTCTGACCTTTTCACTCCTTTCTTTCAGGAGGAATTGCTGAACGAGTTGTTAGCAGAGATGAAGGCGTTGCGGGCCGTCGTCCTCGCTCAGAGCCAGAGAATCGAGTTGCTGGAGAGGCAGCTGGCTCGCATCGAGGATGGGGATGTATGAGCAAGGCGGCGCACCACTACATTCAACGGGCACTATTACTAGATCCATAGACCATAGCCTTACTATAATCAACAGTAACTCAAGCTGTGCGAGTGGAAGAATGTAGTGTCGATTAGCGACTTATCTATGAATCACAGTGGCTTTACAACCAGGTCACTTATTGTGAAGAAAACCAGACGACAATTTCTGATTTCCAGACTGTGGATCAAAGCGGGGTGTCATCTGCATAGAGTGATATGTTTTGTTTTTCATATGAAGGAGTATTGTTGCAGCTTTTTGGTGGTATTTATAGTGCAACTTTGAGCTTTGCAAAACCCACACACTAATTTTGAAGAGCTTTGAAGGCATAACAATGGCACTAATGCCTCAAAATAATGCATAAACTAGAGAAATTAAGCATTTAAAAAAAAAAGTTAATGAAGGCTGACATTCTATAGCAAGGCGATTAAGTACCTCTAATATGATTTTCTTTCTTTAAAGCACTCACACATGTTACCATTAGGGCTATGTAACCAGGTAGTTAAAGCTGCTAAACTGTGATGTCCTTTCAAACCCCCCGATTGTTAGTTCATCGTGTGACTTGTGCTTTGTTTTACGCCGTGTGTATGTAGGAAAATCTCTTGGTACACAAATCATGACCTTGACAGTGAGAATTATGTGACTGATAGCTGAGGAGAGCGTAGTTGAATAGTTACGTGTATTGTAATTCTGTGTAGTCTTTGCAGTCCATGTTATCCAGAGAGAGTTGCAGTATTGAAGAGTTGTCCGAGATATCCCAAGGCAAGATATTTATTGAGATAAATACGCAGAAATACTTGCCTCCCCTTTTTCATCTTTTACCCCTTAAAGAACCATGATCTCTGGTGTCACTTTTTTTCAGAAATGTAAGCTAAAATGAGAGTTGTTCTATGGACAGGACCTAACACTACTTACAGTGCAATCTTACTAAAACACTTTAGATTTCTCAGTGTTGCAGCTACAAAAGAGAGGAAGTGACACAGTGATATTTTTTTTAAAGTTTGATATTGCATTTATATAGGTGTTAAAAGATGGAGTGATCTTTTTACATTTTTTTTTTAATTTTAGTTTTGTGTTTTTTTGCCATTATATTTACAGGCGTCCTTTTTACTTCTCCACGAGTCGGTTATGTGTAGCAATGGTACATTCCACGTCAAGCTTTTCCCTTTGTCATTAAGGGATTTATATTTCTTTATGCACTGACCTCTTAACACCAACTGTAAAACCAGTAGCAGATTAATGAGACTACATTGTGAAAACTTAATAAACATTCATTATTCCTTTGTATTAACGGAATGGCTCTTTATTTGCAACAAGAAAGGTTCTGACTTAGATCACATATATGTGGGATTTTAGGTGAAGTTATGTGTTTGCTACTCAAAACAACACATGTACACACCCAAAACGCATTGCTGTACCACCCTACAGATTTCACACATTTTATATTGGTTTTTTGTTAATCGTCATCTTAATTTCTGATACTTTAAAAATAACCCTTTGATGTGTTATAAATGTAATCAGTGTCCATAAGTGGCACATCAAATGGACCCTGTAATGCTAATATTCAGGTTAATATTTGTATTTTGTGCCTCTACTCAGTGTTGTAGTCAAGTCACCAATTCACGAGTCCAAGTCACTCTCGAGTCTAAGTCCGAGTCACCCAAGGAGTGTTCGAGTCGAGTCCGAGTCATCATTACCTGTGTTCGAGTCAGTCACCCAAGAAGAGTCCAAGTCAAGTCCGAGTCACAAGTCTTCATGTATTCATCTTAGTGGATATATGTGTTGAAATGTAGCTGCTCCTCTACATTGCTTTTATCCTGTCATGTTATACTAACATGTCTATTGAACTGCTGTGAAGCGAGTTTGGCTACAATTATTGTAATAGGTGCTATACAAATATAAAGCTTATTAATAAAATTATTATTATTATTTATATTATTGTAAATGACCTAACTATATTTAAAATGAATTGCCTTTTAGAGAAGTGATTATATTTGTATGCTAATATTTTCTTATGGTAAAGTTTTCGTTTTGCACTTTTATTTTGATAGTAATAAGATCGGGACTCTTATTTTGAAGGGCACAAGCTCTTACGTTGGTAATGATTGTATAAAAGCAAGGGTGTGCAATAAACAGATACCATCAGTCGGAGAGTCTGACCATCATTCAGCCGGGGACGCTACAATTATTATAGTGAATGTGTATACAGTTTAAAAGGATGTACAGAAACACTTTTTGGGAAAACTATGAGAATGAAGAGAGGTGATTGAAGATGAGAAATTATTGTAAATGTATGTATAAATGTAAATGTAAGTAGGAATAACTTGCATAATGATTTAAAGGACAATCATTGATCAAGTAAGGGGTGGGAATTAATAAGCATTTGCTTCCTCCTACTCCCTTTCGGACACATGATTTATTATTATTATTAATATGAAGACTTTTTTTTGTTGAATATATAAATATTATCATGAATGTGGATAAATACTGTATTTTAACAATACGGTATTCTGTTTTTCACATTTTTATTTTTTATTTGTTATTTTTTTAATCTGTTCGAAATAAAGATTGAAATGAAAATGAAATGAAATGTTTAAATTCTATCAATAAAGATTAAGCCCCAGAAAGCACATGGCTACTTAACATGCAAAATGAGACATTCTGCATGTTAAGTAGCCATGTGCTTTCGTGGCTGAATCTTTATTTATTGATTAGATCACATTGTTCGGATGATAGTGTTCAAGACAGCCTATATGTCTGAACTCGATCCAGTTAGAGTAATGTGTTACGGAGCCTTCTCTTCAATCTTTTTTCCACATAACGAGTATTTTGCGCTGCTCTTTCCCAATGTGGAAGCAGAATGTGTGAAAGCATACAGCACGATGCGGGGTGTGTCTCTGGACATCCCTAGACTGGAATAGCGGGGCCCAGTACCACCGTCAACCACTGTATGCCTTATGGTGGCTTGGTGCTCGATGAATCACTTTGCATCGCTGCTGAGTTGATTTCCGTTCTGTCAGACCTACTCTATCATGCTTTTAGGTGACCTTAAGTTGTTCCATACTTTGCCTGCGGGAATACGAAAAAAATAGTTAAATATACTGAATATTATTTGTTGATCTATTCCACCACTTAATCCCAAATAATGTAGAGGTGTGTTGTAGGTGCCTTAAATAACCCCTTATTTTCTAGTGAGATGTCTTTTTATGTTCATATAATAGTGATTTCAATACCACCCCAAAATGATCACTGGTTCCATCCTGGCCACCCCACTGAAAATGTCCTGGCTCCGCCACTGGTGGTTTCGTGAACAATGGTGACACTGCAGTCCAGATTTTGGCGGTAATGCAACTGAACAGTCACTCAGAGAATTTAGTCAAGTCTCAAAACCTGTTGAAGTGTGAGAGTCGCAGCAATATTGGTTTCTTATGTATTGTACAAACACTATTGGAAATTGTCTGAACCTATTATAATCAAACCACCATTTTCTTTGCAAAATTGTAGATATGAAAGCAAAACTATCAATTTTTTAAAGACAAGAAGACACCAAACAATGGGTAAAGTGAAAAGAAAATCAAGATAATAACTAGCATCTTAATTAGCCTTAAAATTGCAAAATAGTTGATAACAAATTCCCACTGGTTATGATTGATCTGTTAGATGTTCTCATGTAGGGTGATACAGTGTGAAATGACTGTATACGTGTAGCGGCTGAAAACAGGATGTGGCTTGTTTCACATTTCTAAGTTGTGCGCAGTACTTTGGTAGGTCTAAAATAGGTAGTGTATGATAATAACCTTCATATCTTTGCAAAGAAAAATCTAATCATTTTTAGGATCATGCTTTAGTTTCTATGGTTGTCTTGGACTCATGTAACAATTTGAGACCCTTTTTCAGTGTAATGTCAAAAGGTGAAAAGTTGAACCTATTTTCAAATATCATCTTGACCCTATCTATCCTTTGTGGAGTTGAAGTGTTATTATTGGCAATACACTGACAAATGATTGTCCAAGATAACAATGTGTCACAGGAAATGACTATCATGTACATTTCCTGATGGTAAACTGTAATGACTCGACCTTTATTAAACTACACTCAATATAATGTAACCTGCACCTGTGCTGCGAATTGAAAATAGCAACTTTACAGGGGAAAAATTCAAATATCTTTGTCTTCCTCTTTTTCTTTACATGTTCTTATCTGTGCTTTCCACCACACCCTGCTTGATTTTTTCTATAATCTGTGTTCACATCCCCTTCAGCCTCCACCTACTCAAAGGGCTGCAGCAAGCATTCTCCACCACATTTCATGCATCACCCCCTCTCTCTCTTTTTCTCGCTGTCACCTCCACACACCTAACACACATGCTGTCACACAGTACAAAAGAACATTAAGTTGCACAAGTCAGTTTCCTACAATTGTACTGGCTGCACAAACTTAATCTTCTGCTCACAACCTGGGTAAGTGTAAAATTGTTTATTTCCTTCCTTTTTCAGATTTTGACCAGATCTTTTTTTTAGTTGCATGTTTTCTAATTTATTTCCTTTTTATAGGAATGCCTCATGTCTCCGTCATTAATTGTACTTTATATATACTTATTTCTTAGTTTACATACTTATATTTTATTTGATGCATACTTATAAGTGGTTGTTTAATGAAAGTGTTGAAGGCATTAATTTACCGCCAATCTCAATTTCCTCATTCATTGTAGCTTTTATGTTAATTGCACTTATTTCACATCAGTATACTTATTATTTTTTGTTTAAAAGAGATGTTGCAACACTTTGTTTCGGATCTTTATACCATGATTAAAAAAAGTTTCCACGGCAGACTGACTGATGCTGCTCAATAATCTTTGACAGGAAACCAGCAACGCTGCGAGCGGTCTGCCAGCTTCCTGTCAGCCGAGACACCGCAGTACGACTTCTCATACACAGTCAAACAAGATAAAGACAGTACTTCCTGTCACATCTCCAGGGTGCGTTCGTATTGCACATTTTAACCATTGGTGACTTTTCAGCCAAAATTGTTTTTATAATTGTATTGAGATTTGATGTGAGTTCTGAACAAAAAAGTACTTTTCCAAAATATAGTACCACCTCAGAGTGTATTTTTCCAAAGTATAGTACCACCTCAGAGTGTATTTTTTAAGCAGAGCTTTGGCAATTCTTGGTAATCTGTTTATTTTTTCATCAATTAAAATGAACTGGATGGAGAATCTTGTATGTTAAGTTGTTCTAAGGTTCTACTTTTCTTTTTTCTAGACCCTGAATATTCTTTTACAAATGGATCTCCTTCTGATGAACCATTAACAACTGCTTTGACACAAAAGGAGTTTGACTGCAAAATTCTGACCCCAAGCCAGAAGGATTTTTCTACTCAAGAAAGAAAAGTATAAGGAGGTACAGTATATTTCAAAATCTATTCTTCCCAAGTTTTGTCGGAATAAAGTTTGATAACTTACTTATTGTTGCCTGAAATCTGCATTGGCTGGCATCAGCCACCAGCCAAATACCCTTAAATAATACCCTTAAATACCCTTAATTGTTTTTATATGAACACTACATCTAAATGTATGCTAGAATTTTTTTTAAACAACAACCAACAAATCGAATTAACTTAAAGATTGATTTTACCTTTTGGGATATAGCTTCACACTCACACTCTGTTCCCCTAATATGAAGCTACAGCCAGCTAGCCTGTAGCAGTATGAAGCTACTGGCTGTAGCTTCATACTGCTACAGGCTAGCTGGCTGCGCAAAAACTGAAATGTAAAAACAACCATTTTTGGTTTTTTATTGGCGATAATTCTTTCAAGTCTGTGCACAGAGCAAAGCAAGCTGTTGCCATCTGTTTCAAGTATACATGTTATATATGCTAACTAGTTACTTCAGCTACAAGAGAGTGACGTTAGAGACAAGAAAGCTCTTTTTCTAACTATATCTTCTAACCCAAGAGACAGTGACACTGCATAGAAAAACATTCATAGAAATGAATGAATCCCATGCTTGACCATTCCCTCTCTCTCTGTTCCCTTCAGGCATGGTTGAAGTGACCTACGAGTCGTCCACCGGGACTGTGCTGATCCTTTTTGTCTGCCTATTAGGCTTAATAGTATTGCTGGTCCTCTTGTACAAGAAGTTGAACAGGGACGCCAATGGAGAATATACTGTGCGACGCATGGTGTATAAGGATGGAGGGGTCAGGGATCGTGTGAGAGGGACAGCGTTAGCTCTGGGGACACGTTTTGGGGTCCAACTGTGGCCTCAAAGTGATGATGACGGAGAAGAAATGCAGGAAGTCCAAGTTGAGGAGGGACAGGTGGAAGACGGTGGTAGCCAGGAGAGTGACAGCGAGGGAGATGAGGAGGACGAGGAGGAAAATGATGAGGAGCAGCGTGGTATGGCGAAGGAAAAAGATGGTGACACCTCAGAAGATAACTCAAGTGTGGAGAGTTCTGAGGCAGAGGAGCAAGCCAGGCTAACGGGTCAGTCAGAGGCAAAGGGAGAGATAGAGGAGAAAGGGGATGATGGGGAAGGTAAAGGGGAAGCAAGTGGAGGGGCTGGATTGTTGGTAGATCTAAAGCAGTTCTCTGGAAGTGCAATCTGGTCTGAGGAAGAGGGATGTGAGGGTAAGAACAGTGATATCACTGCACTGTGAGAACAGAATTTAAAACATTTAATACAAGAGAGGCTTGGGAAATTGTCCTTAGTAATGTCCCATAATTATCTGGTTAAATATATTTTCTATACATTTTATTTCCCAACATATAGGTTCTCTGTTATAGGGAACATCTCTTGGATCCCTCTAAAAACATCCACACAAGTGTTTAATTGCTAAAAACCAATAAATTCCCCCTAAAAAGACACTGTATACATTGTCCTGGTGTGGTCTTAATACCACTTACTTTTGAGGCATCAGATAGTATAAAAGTTTACCTTTTATAAAGTAAAACTAGTCTGAAACTTTGTATTGTTGTGTCAGCCAATAGCATGCTGTGTACTTGTTTATGTTTTTTTTTTTATTGCTTTAAATGTTTTTTCCTGATTTTCAAAAAAATAAAAAACAGAAACCCATACTTTTGACTGTTTGTGTTGTTCTGAATCTAAAAAAGCCTTTATGGTATTTACCAAGAAACCCATGGACCTCAAGACGATTGATTTAAGACTCATTCTTGGAACACTGTATTTGACAATTAATTGATTTAACGATCCACAGAAAAAAAATGTATCAAATGGTTACTTTTTTAGCAAAACATTTAAAAAAATGGCTCCAACTTCTCAGATAAGCACAGAGTTGCAAGTGATAAAACATATTTTGGACTGAGTTTTGAATGATTAATTGAGAATGCTGAATATCAACAATGTAAAACGACACTTACTTGCAGCCTCAAATTATTACTGTATTCAGTAGTTAAATTATTGCTGTCTATCAAAAGTAAATCATTAAAGTCATAGGCTACATTGATAGTAGGATACATCAAAAACTATACCATTAGGTCGGTTAATACACCTTGAAAAGGAACTAGATCCAGGGAAAGGCTACTATAAACTCAACCCCATTGACCTACATTCAAATATTCGACTTACTTCTCTGTTTATTGAATATATTGAAGAGTAGTCTATAAACAGTGTTGTTGTTACGCACCATAAATACAAGAATACACATAATCATCCCTTACAGAATAATATATACGATCTTGCTAGTCGGTGGTTAACCAATGGGGATGTAGCTCAGTGGTAGAGCGCATGCTTCGCATGTATGAGGTCCCGGGTTCAATCCCCGGCATCTCCACTCCTTTTGTGGAAGATTCTTTCCTACTAAATATCTAACATGATGCAAAAAAAGACAGTTAAAATGTGCTTCAGCCTCCCATTAAAACAAACTCATAATACATATTTTCAACACGCAGTTGATATTTGTGATACAGTGAACAAGGTATACGAGACACATTTGTGATTGGCCAGACGGAGCACTTGCTCAAATCTGATTGGATGTTTGAGGACTTCGGAGAGGTGAGTGTGGGAGGGTTCACGCACGCGAGTGCCAAACATTTATTTTTCACCGGCAAAATGATGTTCAGTGGTGGGTAAGAGCCTTTCTTTCGAGACATTAGGCATGAACCAATGAGTAAGCCCGAGTCAGAGTAAACAAAACTGTAGTGACAAATTATCAAAGCAATTATGTAACCAGAAATACGGGATTTTACTGAGACTGAAGACATTCGCCCAGTGACAGACGGATCATTTTTTAATAAAGCATCAAAACTGTTCTCCAAAGGAACGAACTGACTGGAGCCGATCTTACCCGGTAAATATGTCAGCTATTTGCTTTCAAGAATCTCTTCCTCCCTCACAGACAGCACAGATTTTGTCAAACAAATGTGCAACCTTGCACTGCACGAACAGAGCCAGTCTGTCACTGTAACCTACTTCACGAGTGCCGCACCACCGTGAGCATCCAAGTTACATTTTCTCCTCTCACCCTAACTTGATTGTGCCGGAGAAATGATTTCAGTAGACGTCACTCATCTGCATAGGGAGTAAAATGCAACCATCCTGCTAGGCTTTTTGTGCCCTGAAACTCTCTGTACATTCGCCGTGTGATAAAAGGACCTACCATTGCTGCATAACCGAAACTACAAACATGGAAGGTACAGTTTGCATCAGTGTCATGCTAAAAATATACATTTATATCCATAGACACATCTGGGTTGCAAACTGTCCAAGATGGATGCAGCGCCGCTGTGCGCAGGGATGCACGGCGGAGCGTCAGCAGGGTGTCTTTAAATGCCCACCGACCCCGCGTTTAGCTTTATGCCTGCTTATTGTCAGTGTTATTTTTCTCCCTTTGCAGGAGTAGGATGTTACTAGCATCCGCCGTAGTGGTATGGGAATGGCTGAACGAGCACGGTCGCTGGCGGCCCTACAGCCCGGCTGTCTGTCATCACATCGAGGCAGTCATCCGGAGCGACCCGCGGTGTGGTAGTGTTGTCCTCGGCCAGGTGGACTCTCGCCTCTCGCCCTACATCATCGATTTGCATTCCATGCACCAGTTCCGACAAGACACAGGTGAGAAGCAGAGAGGAGAGCCACAGGGGCGGAGGGTGTGACGGTGGAGCTGCATGGGCCTGAGGTAGAGGCCTTTTTATTGCTTATGTGTGTCTACCTCATCTTTGCAAGCCCATATGTTGATTCTGCTCCAGAAGTAGATGCCCTGGTGTTTTGCTGCAAAGTGCAGCTTATTTTTCCTGCAGCAATAACATCTAGTCATTATTGTTTTATTTTAGATTGATAGAACCCTAGTTTCCTATGTTATTTTACATTTAAAAGACATTCTCTGTGTATTTGAGGTGTGAAGTGAGTCATTCTGGTAGGACCTGTGTGAGTTTGGATATGTCACCTAGGCCAGAGTAGGAGCTAAAATGTCCAGTCATTGCCACAGACACTGATTATATATTTTTTAAGACGATCACTGTCTTTAATGGCAGAATATGGGCATAAAAGAGAAGCAAGCACAGCAGTAAGGCAAAGCAGGGAATTGTCAGTTCTCAGATGTCTAACTTTGGCACACAACTCAACATCTCCTCTCTCTCTCAACATTGGCTGACAAAATCCTTTGTGAAGTTTGTTTTCCAAACCCAGCAGAAGCTCAACTAAGGGGAGTCAGGCATTGTGCCCTAGTCTAAATAGGAGACAGGGTGGAGGAGGAGAGACGGGGGACAAGGGTGGGGAAGAATTTCAGGAGTCTGAGGTCATTGATAAAATGGGGTCGATGGGAGCAGATCTTATGAATGAGTGCCTTTGTTGTCTGGTTAAATGTCAAAGCATACTGTGCCACACATGGTACATATTCCAGTGAAGTGTTATATCTAATTGTTTCACTGTGAGTTAAATTATTTTTCCCAGTGTGCTTTGTGCTATATTTTTGATGTTATTTGTATTTGAAATGCTTAACTATACAGTAAAATGTGTTGTATAGGGCTATGATATGTGTACAGTAAAATGCACTGTTATAGCAAAACTGCCTTGCCATCCCAAAAAGGTTTCCATCTCGTTTTTAGATCCAAGCTCTCCCATGTTCGAGAAATCTTTGCGGCCCTTTATGTTTCAGACGCAGGATTTGATTTGTAAAGGCTTTACAGTATGTCCACTCTAGAGTTTCTCTGGACACCATGGGAAAGCAAACACAGCCAGCTTTGGGTCGGATCAAGGCTGCCAGCCAATCAGAATTCAGCACACCATGTGCTGTTACTAGGGGCAACCTGTTTGCCCAAATTCTTAGCAAGCAAACACAGACATGTTGAATTTGTTAAGGTTCCAATCTTCTTGTCCACAGTGAAAAAGGCCACTTCCTATTGCAACTACTTCTCATCACCAAGCATCATGAAAGTAGTTCAAGAAAGATGAGCAAACCTAATAGTTAGTTACACATTTATCACATTGAAATATCCAATTATGCTATTCCAATTGTCAAAAACTTTATACGTTGCTTAAATCTTATCCTTTGTTCTGACCCCCTCATTCTGCCCCAGGTACCCTTCGACCGGTACGACGTAGCTTCTACGACCCCACCTCAGCGCCTGGTCAGGGCTGGTTGTGGGAGTGGGAGAACGACGCTGGCAGTTGGACGGCGTACGACACGGAGGTGGGCATCGCCATCCAGGCCGCGCGCGACCGCCAGCAGCCCTGGCTGGACCTCGCGCCGCTGGGTTTCTGCTACCTCATTGACTTCGAAAGCATGACCCAAATCAACGGGCAGACGCAACGCTGCCGACGCATCCAGCGACGCTCAGACTTGGCGTACCCGCTGGTTGCCGGGCCCTTACCCAAATCCCACCATGCCTGGGGGCCCATGGCCATGCCCAGCCATGGAGGACTGCTTGGGGTGGATGTATCCGGAGTGGGCATGGGGATCCGCATGAGCAACAGTGGGACTGGAAATGGCAGCGCGTACCCCAGTGGGGCGCTCCCTGCCTCCGCCATCACCTCTTTAGGACAGCCCTGCGCCTGTCAGCAGTGCATGCTGGTGCTGAGTGTCAAAGCGGGCGCCATGTCTGCTCACACTCTTGGGCGGAGACCTCCACAGACCAAGCCACCTAGTCCCAAAATGAGCTACCCCGTCCAAGGAGGGTCGTACTCACTCACTCTCCCTCGACCTCCTTCCCTGTCGCGGTCCTTCTCCCCCCACAGGACGTCCATAATTGGTGCGACAGGTGGCTACACTCTAGGTGGTATGGGTGGAGCAGGAGGTGTAGGGACTGTTGGCGGCGGTGGTTATGGCAGTGCCAGCTTCGGTTACGGAGGAGGCTTCACCCACTCTCTTTCCCTCCTCGGCTCAGCCACCGCCGCCCTCTCCCTCCACTCCACCCGCCCCCCTCCTCCACCTCTCCCCCCTCCTCCTCCGCCTCCTCCCCCGCCCTCCATCACACTCTCATCTTCTGCCACCTCAACCCCTCACCCTTCCACCTCGTCCTCCTTCTCTATTTTGAGCTCCGCCCCTACAGTGCCCTCCCTAGGTCCACCTCTCATCTCCACGGCCGCCTCCACCTGCACGCCCTCGCCTTCGGCCCGCGTCCTGGGCCCGGTGTCTTCATCTGGTGCCGCTGCCTGCGCGGCCCCCCTGCCCCCCCGGTCCAGCCTCGCCGGGCTGAGCCGACCTGCACTGCAGCGAATCGCCATGGCTCAGTCACGTGCCCTTATCGCCTCTGGGTGAGTACACAAAAACTGTAGTAGTAACATTCATTTACAGTAAAAATTATCCATCGTCCAAGGAAAAGACACCTCTGGTGATACCATGTATGTACTTCCAATGGAGTATAGTAAAGAAAGCTTTATATTCCTACAAAAAACACCCATCAAAAAATGTATACCTTTCAGTTTAGGCCCATTCAATCCAGTGTCGTGCTAATTGACTGTAAGGCAATACTGTATGAGCTTTAGCTTTAAAGCTTCAATAATCAATATTTTCACATTCACAGCGGATCAAATAACTATGTGCAATTTAAAAATAGTTGCCCGTATGTATGTGAGAAATCCACAGGGAATTACCACTCATCTAATGCTTATGCTTAGAATA